AAGCTTACAATATTGGAATAAAATGAAAGAGGAGAAAGGGATTTGGACAGATGGGCGAGCAGATGGAGACAGTGAGACAATGCCGGGAGAGCTCATGTGCCTCTGTGGTGCTGCAGGAACAGTACATCATAATCTCCAAACTCCAGGATCTCCAGTTTGTTCCGGTTCCAAAACATTTGCCTCCCCAAAGCTACCAGCTCCCTCTCATTTGAAACCACCTTAAAACCTGGGACGGTCAACAGGGGAACATCATCAGGAACCAACACGGGAGAAGTGGGAGCCCTTTTCCGTGAGCTATGATGGGCATCACGTTTTATCCCCATGAGCAACCAACAGTGTATTTTGTCACTTGGTGGGAGGAGGCATGACAAGGAGACACCTTGCTGAGCTGCAGAGGCGACACCAGTGAGGAGCCTGTCTGGGACCCTTGGATGCTCCCTTGAGACTCAGATTTTATGTTTTCTCTCTCCTGGCAGGCGGGGGCTGGACGATTATCCAGAGGCGTCAGGATGGCTCAGTTGACTTCAACCGGACCTGGAACGAGTACAGGGAGGGCTTTGGGGACCTCAGTGGCGAGTTCTGGCTGGGCAATGAGAACATCCACAAGATGACGAACCAGGGAGACTATTCTCTGCGCATTGACCTGGAGGACTGGAACAACAAGCACAAACATGCCTTCTACCAGGTCTTCAGGTAGAAAGCGGGTTGGCCTTCCCTGGTTCTCACAGACACGACTGGTTCAATGTCGGGAGACCTTCGGACATGGGAACCCCATTGTGGTCAGAATGGCTGAGAGGGCTTTTCAGACTGGGCCCAGGTTGCTTATCCTTTCTTCCTCACCTGGATTTTACCACCAAATTTCACTCCAGGTTGAAGCCGCCATGGCCAACATCCACATCCCCAGGGGAAGGGAGCTGTAGGACACAACGGGCAGTCCCCAGCTGCTCAGGGGTGTTTTTACTGCCATAATTATTGAGCTCTATGTCAAAACCAGAGTTTTGAATCCCATGGTCTTGCTGGACAGGTTGTCCAGCATCTGTCCAGTTTAGAATCGTGTTTTGATTTGTACCCTCTCTCCTCGTGGCTCTTTCCTTGCTGGACCTGATGTAACATCCTTCAATGTCCATCACTCTTCCCCTTCTCTGGTGTTTTATTTATCCATACCACATCAGCCACATCTTTTCTTAATCGGGGTGACCAGGTCTGTCTAGTCTGTCCCAGATGAACCCCTTCCCTGTCTGCACTGGAAATGCTTGTGGGTGACTCTGCAGCAATCCGCCACGGGACGATGTCCAAGGGCACTCTGCACCTTATGGACACTTGAAACTTGAGGGCTCCGGGTAGAATCCCAAATTGCCAAAAATGCTGGAAAAACCCCTCCCGCTGCGTGAATGTGCCATGAAGTATCGTCCACCAGCAAACGTGTGCTCTGAGTTGTCACCCCAACTTTTGTTTTGTTTGATCAGACATCACATGCAATGGCAGTGACCTTCAGCCTTTGCTAGCCTGAGGGGAAATTACTAATTAGCTCCGTCTGGGTGAAGAGTGAGATGCTTGTTACGTGGAGAGGAGGCAGCGCTGTGTAATTAGAGGGACTGTCTTGCCAAAGCTGCCTCAGCCTTTTATTGTGGTTTTAGAGTCATGGTCTGCCCAGTTCAGACCTGTAACAAGTGCCCTGAGTCATGACAAAGTCACGCACATCCCACAGAAGGGAAAAATACAACATCTTTGGCTTCTAGAGGCGATGAATCATAGCAGGGAGGCTGGCCAGAGCAGCTCGATGATTGCTAGGTGATCGCACCAGGAATGCAGTATCCGGGCTGGAAAGGAGACTCCAACACTCCCCATTAAACAGTCCCACCTTTGGTGTTTGCAGCATCGAGGACGAGGAAAACTCTTACCGCCTGCACGTGGACGGGTTCAGCGGGACGGTGGAGGATTCCTTTGCCTGGTACCACAACAAGAGGAACTTCAGCACACCCGACTCAGGGAACCTCTGCGCCGAGATTTGCCACGGGGGCTGGTGGTACCACCAGTGCTTTTACTCCAACCTCAACGGGGTGTACTACAAGGTAAGGTGGAAGGATGAGGATGCAGATGTTAGCACACAAGGTCCAGGGCTGGGAGGAGGCTGTTGGTCCTCACATCATAGCGATCCTTCTGGCTTGGCCAGCCCCTGCTCTTCAGAGAGGGAACAAAACGAGTGCTGGGCAGCAAGACAGTCCAACCTCTTCAGTGCCATGCGCCAGGCACAGGTGTTGAGCCGCCTCTGCACGCTGGGTTTCTGGGCCGCATGGGGGAAACTTGCGCTACGGGTGACTCACACAGAGATGGCTGGATGCCAGCTCCACTGGGGCCATCTGAAAAACGTGACATGTTCTTTTCACCACATTGTCATGGAGCTCTTTTGCTCCAGTGTTTCAGAGCAACCGGTTTTCCGATGCTCCCATCCGGATGATGCTTCCAGGTGTTTCCTGTGTCTGACCATCCTTTCTGTGCATCCCAGGGCGGCCGATACTCCATGAAAAACCGCAGGATCCGGGGACCAGATGGGATCGTGTGGTACTCATGGAAGGACACAGACTACTACTCCCTGAGGAAGGTGGTCATGATGATTAGACCACGCACTTTCCGGCCCCACATCTCCCCGTGAAAGAGCCTGGGACAGTCTTCGTTTCATCTCACGTTGGGCTGCAAATAATTTTCTGTGAGCAAAAACTGACGCTGGAGATCCCTGAGGGACTGAGCATGATGCCCGTGGCTGCTTGTTTGCTTTCAAGACAATTGAACCAACAGCCGAGGTGTCAAGACCTTTAAGAAGTGTTTGGGTGATGAAGCTTTCCTAAAAACGTGGAGGTGATTGCTGAGACAGGTTTTGCAAAGCCAAGCACGTGGCTTGCCGGGTCACTGGGTAGCAGCAGAACTTGGCGGGCTTGGACATCCCCAAGGCTTGAGACTAAATCCATTTGACCGGGTGATGGGGGTCAGCCACAATAAGGCTGGACGGGAGATGTTGGGTGCTCTGGCTACCAACCCAACGGTATTTTAGAGAGAAGAACCCGCAACCCTGTACGAGTTTTCCCCATGGGACGGCAGGGACCAGTTCTTGTGCTGTAAGATGATTATCTCTCCGGTCTCGGAAGAGTTTCTCTGCTCTCATCACAGTGTCTGTAGGTCCACCACGCCGGGGCTGGGCTACGGTGGCTCCGCGGTGCTGAGCTGGCCCCGAGGAAAGCCGGGGAAGCCAGCGTGCAGCGCTCAGACACCACGTCAGGGACCAACAAGGAGGAAGGTCTGCAGTGGCCCTCGCCTCCTCTGGCAGGGGTTGTGTTACACACGTGGACATTGGCTACCTGCAATAATTAAAACTCCAAATGAAAAGATTTACAAATAAAATTTTGCAAAGTTTTGCCATTCTGTTTTCACCTCTATGTCCTTTCTCCCACACGGAAATTCTGATGAATTTTCTATCCCCCCTAGAAGTGGTCTGCAGGAGTGGTCAGACATGATTCTTTTTTAACTGCCTTACTCCGGATAAAGAAGATTTGTTGTTGCTGTGTTTTCATTTTCCACTTGTCGCTACAGAGGGAACCCTCCTTTTTTTCCCTGACTTTGCCTCCTCACAGGATCAGGAGATGGAGGCTGGGACTTGGCCTCAGCCCTGATTGTGTTTGGTGATGAATATTTAATTAGATTAACTTTTTCCTGTTTCATGCGCGCAGATGAGTTCAAAGAGGGTTCATCAAAGAGGAAAGGCGTATGTACTAGAGACAAAGCACCATTCCTCCCAACTACTTGTCTCCGGCTTGATGTTCTGATGGTTTCTGTAGCTTTTACACTACTCTGGACTATATTTGACCTGGAACTTAATTTTTCATGGGCAAATCGAGAAAAGAAGTTACCTTCCAGGCTTACTACAAACTAATATCCCCAAGATAATAAACCAAATGTTATTTGTCCTTCCCCCTGCTAGGTTTGCCTTGGTGATCTTCCTCAGGGGGGTGTTCACAAGATCTTCTGATGGTGTTTGGGGTCTGAGTTGGTCTACGCTGCTCTTGTACCATCACTTGCCGTGAACATCTGGGCACTACCAGCGGTGGGAGGAGATCTTTCTTGCCTCGTGGCACACACATATCTGATATAATGTCGTTCCTTCAGGACCTGCCCCTCCCTCTTTGGACTGCAGGCGTTCAAAAGGCCATGATGTCCCCTGGTTAAGCAATATCTTACTAAGAGACTAATAAATCACTTGAATAAGCAACAACTTAATTAACTGATGATCGCATTGTCATTATTCATCTGCAATCTGATTTTGCACATTACAGAATCACAGAGTCATCTAGGCTGGAAAGGACCCTGGAGATCATCCAGTCCAACCGTTCGCCCAGCACAGTTCCCCCCTACAGCAGATCCTCAAGCTCCAAATCGACCCGACTCTTGAACCCCTCCAGGGATGGGGACTGCACCACCTCCCTGGGCAGCCCATGCCAATGCCCAACAGCCCCTTCTGGAAAGAAATGCTTCCTAATATCCAGTCTGAACTTTCCCTGCTGCAACTTGAGGCCACGATAAACACATATTAAACACAACAATAAAAGTATTACTCTTAAACCTTATGAAACACACACTACTACTGCCGGATTACGGTTTTACCATCCGTCCCTCCCCGCAACATTTCATACCAGGGTGCAAGTGTCTCCCTTGTTACCCTCTTGCACTAAGTCCTTTGGACATAGCCTTGATGGAGAGTCCAGCAAGTTGTCCAAGGACATCCCATGCAGTTGGGTACCCAGGTCAGTGTCACCAACATCTGTAAACATCCATCCCCTGATCACCGAACACCCTTTGTTCCTTACCTGATTTCATAACTTACTCCTCTTTTTTTTCTCTTTTTTCTATTTCTACCTTAGAACTTCTTTTTCTCAGCCAAATATGCCTCTATTTTTTTTTCCCTTATTGGTCCAAATTCTGCTACATCCATACTCTATTTTATTATATTTGATGTCATGATTGAGGCAATTTTGCCCTACTATGTCACTACTGATATGGTTGGTTGCATACAGGTGTCTTTGCAAGACTCTACACCCCAAATCTCCCCTACACTTACGTGGTTCATACTGGACTACACTCTCTAAGATGAATCACTCTACTTCAAACGTGACCCATCCACCTTGCCCAAAGAGCTCCTCATGCACCCAGAGTTTGCACGCTGGATGGTTTGGAGTGCACGCAGCACCCTTTCCGTTTTAATATTAGGAAAACATTTCTTCACCCAAATGTTGTCAAGCGTTGGAACAGGCTGCCAACGGGGGGGGGAGTCCCCATCCCTGGAGGGGTTGAGCAGATGTGTAGACGTGGCTCTCAGGGACAGGGTTTAGTGGTGGCCTTGGCAGCGTGAGGTTAACGGTTGGACTCGATGGTCTTAAAGGTCTTTTCCAACCAAAACTTGCCCAAGTTTATGGTTCTGAGAAACCAGCATGAGGCTACGGACTGGAGAAAGGACCTTAGATGGCAGAACTGTCCCTGCACAGGATGACGCATGAGCCAGGAGGAGCTCTGAGAACCCAGCAGCAGGTGCGTGGCAGGAGGATTCACCTCTTCGCTTGGCATCCTGGAGGCTCTTCCACGATGCTGTTTCTTTTGATCTGTTGTGTGTGAATTCACAAAGAAAGGGGCTTTTTTTTCCTCATGTGCAGGGCAGCAACTGAGCAGTACTTGTCATGTCTGCTCTGAAGGACACCCAGGCATCCTCTGATGTCCAGGAGCTGCAACTGACAGCACAGGTCTTGCTTGGGCTGGGATTTAGGACTGGGATTGCACCTGGCTTTTCAAATAGGAGAGGTGGGTTCAGGTGAGAAGGTCTGCACAGGTCTCAGCCTGTCTGAGAGTCTGACAAGTGTCGTGAAATGTCTCCTTGGGAGGTTTCTTGACAGCACCAAACCTTTGCTTTGTCCCTTCCTCTTGTACGTCCTGGCTGTGCCTGTGGGCTGGTGCTTCAGGAGAGGACTCCACCACCTAGGCAAGGACCTGGTTGACATTGCCTCCTCTCTGATATTTGGTGCAGGATGCCCAGGTGTGAGGCTCGGAGTTCCAACTCCTCACCCGGCTGTGGGTGTCTTCTGCCATTTGAGACTTGTGGGCTAATAGAGGCTGGCACATGGGGTGGGCAGAGGTGACATGGGACCCACGGGACCCTTTGGAACTTGGTGGGAAGCTCTGGGAGCATCTCAAATGGTACTGCGTGGTGAGATGAAGATATCTGGTACCTGAGCAAAGCTAAGAACAGCCTGAGTTCTCATCACGACAAGCCCCAAATCCAGCCAGAGGATGCCTGAGTTCCTCTTGAGTAGGAGGGAGAAGTGGAGCCAGCACCTGCAGAGGCAGCTCTGCTACAGGACGGGAAGGCAAAGTCTGAACTCCTGGGTGCTCACGCACCAAAGCTGACAGTGAGTGGGACATGGAGATGCCTCTTTGCCTCTCCCCTTGTATGGGGCTGGCAACTCTGCTGGCTTCCCTTGGAGGAAGGTCCTGGTCCAGGCGTCTCCTGGGTACCAGCCTTTGAGCAAGACACAGCAGTGTGGCTAAGCAAGAAACTAAATATTACACCTCATCAAATGTCCCCAGGCCTGCACGGGGGGAGGAAGGCGCCTGACTGCCCCCAGGACAGGCCTCCCACCTGTGAGCCTGGCTCCTTCTTCCCCTTCACACCCAGACTAACCCCTGCCCCGTTAATTTGCCTGAGTCCATTATAGCGCTGTCTAAAGTGAGATGGGGCAGGGAATTGTATTGACAGAGCCTCATCGCGTGCAGCCACGAGGCAGACACCCCGTCGCGTTCCCTGCGTGGCCGCGCTGACCTGACGGCCCTGCAGAGTCCTGCCCACGTAGACATGCACAATTCCTGCTGCAGAGCAGGGGCTGGCTCTGGCTATTGGCGGCTGATGAACTTGGCGTGTGTGTGTGTAACTTGCTGGGGAACAGCTACATGACCTGGTGTTGTTTTGGCTCACAGCTACCCAAAACAGAGGAAGGTACAAGGACAGTTTCCATCTGACGTGTTAGGTCAATGCAAGTATTTCCATCCGTGTGATAATTGGGACCTAGTGTCTCTACTGGAGATGGAGAAGTTTTATGAGACCCTCAGTCCATGCTCTGCGGGTCTCCAGTCCCAGGGTTGGGAAAAGCATCTGAACTGAGAGTGGAGTAAATGCAGGAAAGGGCTCCAGGAGTAATGGAACAAATAATCCTTGGTGAGGTGGCCGTGGCCAGAGGGCTGGATCTTAAACACCTTGGGAATGGAGAGAAAGAGCCAGGGAGGGAGAAGATCAGAGAAGCTGCACGTTAGCTATTCTAAATTTCAATGCTGAAAATGCTGGAAGAGATTAAAACTTGATCAGTTTAGGCAGGGGATTATCGGAGGTGAACCTCTGTGCTGGACAAAAAGCTGGATGCAGGAGAGAGATGTAGCCCACCTCTCTCTTTCTCTCCCCCTTGTCAGCAAGGGGAGAAAAGTGAGTCCAGCAGGTTGAGGGGGGGAGGGGGATTGTCCCCCTCTGCTCCGCTCTGGGAGACCCCCCTGCAGGGCTGGGTCCAGCTCTGGGGCACCAACAGCAGAAGGACACGGACCTGCTCCAGCGGGGCCAGAGGAGGCCACGGAGATGCTGGGGGGGCTGGAGCCCCCCTGTGAGGACAGGCTGGGAGAGTTGGGGGGTTCAGCTGGAGGAGAGAAGGCTCCGGGGAGACCTTAGAGCGGCCCCCAGGGCTGAAAGGGGCTGCAGGAAAGGGGGGGGACTCATGGTCAGGTGGTTTAGGGATAGAATAAAGGGTAATGGCTTTGAATTGAAAGATGGGAGATTTAGACTAGATGTAAGGCAGAAATTGTTCCCTGTGAGGGGGGTGAGGCCCTGGCACAGGCTGCCCAGAGAAGCTGTGGCTGCCCCCTCCCTGGAAGGGTTCAAGGCCAGGTTGGACGGGGCTTTGGGCAACCTGGGCTGGGGGAAGGTGGCCCTGCCCGGGGCGGGGGGGGCACTGGAGGGGCTTTGAGGTCCCTTCCACCCAAACCGATCTGTGGTTCTGTGAAGCCTTGCTGGAGCATTAACCCCTTTCATCAGGCTTCAGGCCGTGGAGCAGGATGATCTGAGGCGCAGGTGGTTACGGCTGGGGTGGATTTCTGCTCCAAGTGCCTGGAGAGAGTCGAGATGGATCCTGACACCGTCAGCATCGTGCTTTGCCTGGTTGGGTCTCACCCTGACCCTCTTTGGAGAGTCTCCTCCAAACAACCTCCTGATGGTGTCGATGCCATCACTTGTGCCCCTGTCATCAATTTCTTCCCCTGGTGCCCCATTTTTCCCCCCGACACCCGCTGCCTTGTCCCCAGGGAGAGCCTGGCTCTGCTCCCCCATTTCTCTGCTACCCTCCTCATCACTTGTGGGTGCTTTTTAATGCTCTTTGGAGGAAAGTCTTTTAGTCTCTTCGTATTTTCTTCATCCTCAGTCCAGTTTGGGTCCCTCTTTCTATTGTGCCGTGGCTCCTGCATCCCCTCATGCCCATGTTGATGTCCACACACATGCTGGTGTGGACTATGGCACAGAGTCCTAGGGCAGAACAATATTCTTTGTATTATTCTTTGTTTATTCAAATACGAAATACGTAACAAACCAGAATTTTATTTCCTGCACTTTTACCCAGCTCCAACCAGCTGCTGATGGTCAGCCTTAAGTCTCCTGTTGCCATCATCTGTACCAGCTGCATGCATCTTACCTTCTTCTTGAGCCTGTGGATTCTCCTCTCTTCTTGGGTGTAACAAGCTCTCCTGCTGTCCTCAGGTCCTCTCCCACCAGGCTTTTGAGGGTTGCCAACTCATGAACCACCAGTCTGTATGACCGTGGTGGACCCTGCCACCTCAACACGGATTCCATGTCTTTTTTCACATG